TGTATCAGCCTCGATGCTTGATGAGGAATTGCATTCAGTTATGCAGACATATGGGTTACTGAATGATAAGCGCCATATTGACCCACTTCAGGTAACTGTCCAAATCTCCTCCCCCTCCCCAGATATTTTTTCCATTGATGATATGTACGATGTTGTGGAATGTTCTCTCAAAATGCTAGGTTTTGGAGAGTTTGGTGGTCATTTTTACCGAAGGCAGTGGGCGTGGGCTATGTAAGAAAATAATAGCAGTTATAAAAGTGGCAAACACCTTGGGTCTCTCATTTTTTGAGGCATTCGACAAGCAACCAATTGAGCTACTGCAGCTACTTTCTCTTAAAGCACAAGAGTCCTTTGAGGAGGCAAAATTTCTGGTGCAGACTCATCCGGTGCCAGCTGTTAGTATTGCTCAAATACTTGCAGAATCTTTCCTGAAGGTTTGATTCATTATTATTATTTTATGACTCTACTTGCAAAATCTTAACTATGTTGGTGTATGGAAATTGGTGTTGGATTTGATAGACATCCTAATCATTAGATAGACTTTTGCGGGCGTGTTGTTTTCCATCTATTGAATGAAGAAACTAACCTGGATTTGTGAATTGATGTCATTATGAGTTACAGTTTTGTAATTTACATGTCATGTCAGTTATGAAGAGGTTGTGTTAAACAACTCCGTTTAGATATAATTTTGTGAAGTAGACTTATTGCTAATTAATATTTATGTTGTACAGGGTGTGTTGGCTGCACATCGGGGAGGATATATAGATTCGCAAAAAGAGGAAGGCCCTGCTCCATTGCTATGGAGATTTTCAGACTTCTTGAAATGGGCAGAGCTTTGTCCCTCTGAACAAGAGATCGGGCATGCTTTAATGCGTTTAGTGATAACTGGGCAAGAAATACCACATGCCTGTGAGGTACCATGTTGATATTTGTCACTCACATTTTCTTTTCACTATCTTGTTCAGAAATGGCGAATTAAATCGAATTCTGTTGGGAAAATTCTAATTCATGTTATCTGAGAGAATGATACCCTACTGTTGACTGTGATACCCTCTACTCTTCTTTTTTTAAAGAAATTTATTAAGATACAAGAATATTACCAGTGCTGATGACGACAGATGGATTGGCAGCGAGCAGAAAATCCTTCATATATATACATATATGTGTGTGTGTATATCACACCCCATACAACATTAATATTTATTAGTCTTAGAATGTGTGGGTTGAGCCTAACTCATCCCTACAAAACTGGTTTGTAAGGTGAGGGCTGCCCATGCTTTATAAACACGACACATGCCATATCTCCTAGCATTGTGGGACTTAATCCACCTCTTCAAACCCAACACAATGTACTAGTAGGTGTTAGAGGACCGCAATGAAGGTGGAATTTCCAACAATTAGCAATAACTCATGATCCTTATCTACTTCACAAAATTTCATATTAATGCGGAAATAAATAAAAATCCCAAAGACTGTCAATATATGTCAAAAACTGGAGACTTGATTGATAGAAAATATCATTAGTCTCAATCACAATGTCATAAACAACTAACAACCACTTCTCATCAAGTTCAAGACTTCAAAATAACAACAAAGAGTGGTGTTTGTATCTGCTTATTGAACTGAATGGTGAAATTTCGATCCATGGTCTGTTTTGTTGGCACTAGCACCCGTTGAATTTTATGATTATGAGGAAACTTGTTAGTTGGACATTTTATCCACAAAACTAAAATACCTACTTGAATGGACTAAAAATAAAAGCAAGTACAGGAAAAGGATAAACAATTAAAATATTAAAAAAACATAATTAAAATAGTTTTAAAAAAGAATTAAAACCCAATTAAAAAAATTCAAAAGATTAAGAAAATATAGAAACAAGAATAACATAGAATATGCAAAAACTAAAGAGCATAAAATGATGAAAGTAATTGAGCTAAGAAAGAAACAAAAAGCGCAAAAATAGAATACTTACAATGAAAGCAACACCAATCAACACTATTTATAAAGATGAACTGCTTAACTCCAAATTTTTTTAGTAGTTTGATTTAAAGTTTCCCTGTCTTATTCTATCTGTAGCTAAGGAAATATCCTAGATCTGTTCTACCTAAGCACAATTGTGTAGCAAATATTTTAGATGCATGGTATTTGTTTCTTTACTTCTACTAAAACTAGTATCACCAGTCCAAGGACTTGGGACTCACTGTTTCAAAAAAGATAAGGAGAGAATCCCATACAACAGAGTAGGAGAACAATGTAAGAAAAGCGAGGAACATATTCTGAGGTTGCACCTCACTTGTGAATCAATTTCAATATTTATTGGTTAGTAAACTTGCAAGTTGTTAAGCCATTATCCAGCCAATACACTTGACCGCAAAATTGACCCATAATTAGCTCGTGTGTGGTAGAACTTCAGTTGTAGACATAACAGAAAGAGGAGTGCTAGGAACACGCTTTTCAACACCCACTCTAACTCACACTCGAGAGAACATATCAAGTGAGTAAACTAGTTTATAATAAGAGCAGAAGAAGTGAATTTTAATCATCAAGTTTTCCGTGAATGTTGAGGATTAGAAGTCAATTTATACCATAAACTCGGTGTCCTTACCATTCTTACAAGATCATATTTAAGATTTGCTCCTCCTTATCCAATAAGAACTTGAGAACTGGTGTATACCCCTCTCTTCTGCTGTTATTGTGCACTGCCTTATCTTTTAAAGGGATAATCGTTGAGTAGCAGTAACTTGGAGTGTTGTTAAATATCGGTTATATCGCCGATATACCAATTTTTCATATCGGAATTTGGCTATCTGATACTAAAGACGATATTCTGTTTCAATTTCGCTACGCTCAACATATCGGCCGTTTTCCGGTATACCTGTATATCGGTTTTGAATTTGATATCAGAATTAATATTATTATGATCATTTTTATAATAAGTTATATTAAAAAATATTTAAAATATAGAATGTGAGGAGGTGTACAGTAATAAATAGTAGGCTGTGAAGACGTGGAGTATTAATGAAGTGGAAATGTGAAGAGGTGTGTGGATATTATTAACATATTTTGCTAGCTCGAAAATAGAAGAAAGAGTGTGAAGGGTGTAATATTAATGAGTTGGTATGATTATTTATAGGAGTCAGAATGCCTCCATCACCATAACTTTTTCAGTGAAGATGAGGATAATGATTATGTTGGGGAAATGGAGAATAATTAGATCTTTATCACTAGTTATGCTTAGAAGAACTATTAGCTATTACTTATTTTGAAGTTTGAACTATTTAATTTTGAGTTTTAAGTCATTTTGATTTTGAAGTTTGAACTACTTGGTTGTTAGAACTTTAGATTTTCAGTTTAATGTTAGTAAACTTTTTTAATATTTGTTTATGTTAGTAGCTTTTATATGTGTGTGACATGTTTTATTTTATATATAATTATTTATTTTAACCGCTTTGCGGTTTCCGCTATTTGCCCGCTACGATATCCGATATTTCTCATATCGGTTTTTTGGTGATCCGGTATTTTCCGCAATCCGCTATTAACAACATTGGGATGAAAGAAATATTAGTTAAGAATGTATCTTATTGATTCTGGCTGACTCATTCCTTTGTCTTGAGCTGACAATATTCTTCCTGTGAAATTGGCATTTTCAGGTTGAGCTTCTTATTGTGTCCCACCACTTCTACAAATCATCTGCTTGCCTTGATGGAGTCGATGTTCTTGTTTCCCTTGCTGCAACTAGGGTTGATGCTTATGTTTTGGAGGGTGATTTCTCGTGCCTGGCTCGCCTGATAACTGGAGTTGAAAATTTTTATGCTCTCAATTTCATTCTTGGCATTCTTATAGAAAATGGTCAATTGGATCTTCTTCTTCAAAAGTATTCTGCTGCTGCCGACACAAACACAGGCACTGCTGAGGCTGTCAGAGGTTTTCGAATGGCCGTTCTTACTTCTTTGAAGCATTTCAACCCTAATGACCTTGATGCATTTGCCCTGGTTTGTATTTTTTTTCTATATTGATGAAATGTTGGCTACTATGTTGTCTGTAGATTGATGGTTGTGTGTGCTGCTTACATTCAAATACAATTAATTAGTTAATTATATTGCAATGTTGCATGCTGTTTCCAAGCATCTACTTAAGAAGCGGGGGCGAGTTGTATTTTTCACTTGCTCATGTAGTTTTTTCTTTTGTTTCTCTGTTCCCCTGGGTAATTGGTGCTTAACATCTTTCATTTGTCTTCTTTACAGGTCTATACTCATTTTGATATGAAACATGAGACGGCCGCTCTTTTAGAGTCCAGAGCAGAGCAATCGAGTGAACAGTGGTTTCGGCGTTATAACAAGGACCAGAATGAAGACTTATTGGATTCCATGCGCTACTTCATTGAAGCTGCTGAAGTTCACTCTTCCATTGATGCTGGCAATAAAACACGAAAGGATTGTGCTCAAGCTTCCGTTCTGTCCCTCCAAATACGAATGCCAGATTTCCAGTGGCTTTATCTATCAGAAACCAATGCTAGACGGGCATTAGTTGAGCAGTCTCGTTTCCAAGAAGCTTTAATTGTAGCTGAAGCTTATAACTTGAACCAGCCAAGCGAATGGGCTTTGGTGCTCTGGAACCAAATGCTCAAACCTGAAGTCATGGAGGAGTTTGTAGCTGAATTTGTGGCAGTTCTACCCCTTCAGCCTTCAATGTTGACTGATTTAGCGAAATTTTATAGAGCAGAAGTAGCTGCCAGAGGAGACCAATCTCATTTCTCTGTATGGCTCACCGGGGGAGGGTTGCCTGCCGAATGGGCTAAATATTTAGGAAGATCATTCAGGTGTTTACTGAAGCGAACAAGGGATTTGAGGTTGCGGATGCAGTTAGCTACAGTGGCAACTGGATTTGGAGATGTCATTGATGCATGCACGCAAGAAATGGACAAGGTCCCTGATAATGCGGCCCCGTTAGTGCTGAGGAAAGGTCATGGTGGAGCTTATCTTCCTTTAATGTGAAACTTTCTACTGTAAATTGTCATTATGATTGGACAAACCTGGCTCTGGACAGGAAGTTGGTTCTTGACCTTGACCCATTGTTGGTTCAAAAACAATGTGGGGGATCATTGTCGCACGTATTGAACGGTGCTGAGCCAAATCAGATTGGCTGGACAAAATGAAAATTGAATGGGTTGTTGATCTATATATATACATGTATATTTTTTTTGTTGAATAGATGCTTGATGGTTGTATATTAGGCAAATTGTATCTGTAGCTCATTCTTGTAAACACCCTTATAGTTTTTGTTTTCACCGATTCTTTTGTAGGGGAGAAGAGTGTAGTTTGTTGTCGATTTTGAGGCCGGTAGAGTAGAATGTCCCATTGGTTTCTTTTTCTTTTTTTCTCCACAATGTATAGTTCCTGTACATCAATATAAAAAATCCATTTGCCATGTTTTGCGTAGATATTACCGTTTCTGTTGCCTACTAAATTTGGTTCAATGTCTCATCAATTTACTTGGTTCTTATTCAAAGCTAGTACATCGTAGATGCTGATAGATTAGTATGACAAAAAAAAAACATTGAATCTTTTATGGATTACGCATTGCCAAAATTGTTGATTATTTGCATGACCTCTTTATCGATCTTTTATACTTGCATTAGACATCCAATAAAACGATTAGAATATCAGTTATTCAGCTATCCCAATTAATATCTCAACCTTACGAGATTTGCACTGCATCCAGCTCCTTAAGGTATGTTTCGATGTAGAGATTTGGAGCTGTTTGGATGTATATATTTGCGATTTTAAAAATATATACTAAAAAGAATAACATGTTCATATAACTTTTCAATCACAACTTAAAAAAATAGTTTCCTTATTTGATTTAAAAAAGAAAAATAGTTTCCACTTAAATAAAAATTCTACATCAAAACATACTTTTAGGATTAGATCTTGTCACAATGCCTTTTGTGATTGATAATTGGGAATATATATCTCAATTACCATCGTTTCACATCTAGTGCGTGCAGATTTCCTTGCCCGAATCATATGACTGGTAGAAAGAGTAGTTATGAGCACAGAAACTAGATATCAAAGTCTTTTAAGCTTTGCTGTAATTATCATATAATCCCTAAAAAATGTGCTACCTCCGTTACTAATTATAAGCCTCAAATGCTACAAAACTAGATGGAATACATTTCAAGTTAACCACAGGATGATACATTATACAAAATCCTTAGGATAAAAAATCACATTCTTAATTTTTCTTTTCTTCTGAATTTATGCGCGGAGCTTTTGTAGGACGCCTCTCAGAAAGGAAACGTTTTGAACTCTCAAGGACGCCAAAGAATATCGAACCACCTATGCCTATCCAAAGTACTCTTGGCCCAATACCCTGCAATAGATACAGGAGTATGATTTATATTATAAGCTCCAAGTATACTTCTTCCCACGTAGCTGTATCTTTCTTAATCTACCTAGGAGGGTAAAAGATAAAGTGCACGCTTTGGGAGGAACTTGCACCATGCTATTTTACTTTTCACAAACTACAATGTGAGAAAGAAAAACACAGAAAGCACATACCTTCAAAAAAGCACTAGGCCCCTCTTCCTTAATAATGGTTTGAACACAATCCACAATTCCTTTATATTGGTTTGCAGGCCCCTTAAGAGGAGGAAATAGGAACTTCGTAAATGGCTGGATAATTTACTATTGACACTGTATATTCTTGTGTGATTGATTTACTTGCAGATTAATTGAACAGAAAAGGTATGGAGATAGATGGTTATCAGGTAAAACCAATACATACAAATGAAGAAGAAACAGGATTTCATCTTACCTGAATCATTAACCTTGTCTTGATGACATCAAGGGGTGTGGTTATTGCTCCAGTTAGTGCGCCTACAAGAAACAAAAATGGTATACCACATCACAAAGTTAGTAGGATACACCATAATGCTTAACAAATCAATCCAAAGAAGATCAAATTAAAGAAACTCTCCTAGTTACCCACAAAACCCATTTACTCCTCAAAAATTACAAATAGAACTGGAAAATATAAACAATGCAATTTTTTTAGCAAGTATATCTTCATTTAAGTTACAAGCTCCCATGTTTGAAGTATGGTGGTACAAATTTTGTCAACTTGTCATACATGTACATCATATAAAGCAAGTATCTTATAGCCAAATAAAACTAATATCTTCTATCTTGATGCTACCTACTGAATTCTTCACTGTTAAATAAAGCCAAGGGTTCTATTAAGATCTAGAATTAGGTTAGAATGACTTTCCTCTCAGTTACAGACATCTAGTTTTGACTGTATACCTTGCAAAGAAAAATGGATTGACAAAATTAACAAGATTCACGGTTTTGATTATACACAGTAAATACTGATAGAGTCAAACAATCACACATCTTTAAACCTAATTCATAAGGTGTTTCAGCTTGAAGCACAGTTAAAGCATAAGCTCATGATGTCTAGTGCTGAAACTTATGTATACAAGTTATATAACAACAAACCAAGCCTTATCCAACTAAGGGGGTCAGCTACATGGATCAAACAGCGCCATAATGTTGCATTATGTATCATATCTCTATCCAACTCACTATTTCTAGATCTTCTTCTGTCTCTATTTATTTGACTACTCTATCTGATCCACTCTCTTAACTACAAAATCTACAAGTCTCCTTTCTACATGCACACGTCTCCTTTCTACATGTCTCTAGTGCCGAAACTTGTGTGTATAAAAACTATATGCTCTGTGTATCACTAAACTATACTGTCATTTATTTACCTGCAAAAGCACCAATAATTGCATTTTCTGGATCATTCAGATTTCTTCGTGCCTTGCAAAAAGAAATATAAATCACATCATCAATCACAAATGAAATAGAAGAGAAAATAGCAACATTGATATCTTCGATAAACCACAAGACAGTATAACTTGAAGTTTATATTAGTTGTTTAAATTCAAAATACAGCCATGAATTCATGCTACTGAATTATGTCTAGTAAACATATAACTTTTAATAGTGAAACACCGGCATGAAAGGCGAAAATAACTTTTGTTTGACAGATATTATTAATAACAAAACATCTCAACACAGCGGCTTGGTAATTTATCACAGAGAACCAAACAATAAGTCTTTAAAATACATAAATATAGAACTTGAGAAATTTACCGCAAGCATATAACCTAATCGAATCTGCTCATAGAGGCAAAACTGGATAGCATCAAAGGGCAAATCCCGCAGTAAAAAAGATCCATACCCCTGTGATTTCAAATATCAATATCAATGAAACATTTTAACAAATTACTGCAGGTGTAGCTAATAAAATTCATCATAAAATATTACAAGAAATAAATAGTGAGCTTCATACAGCATAAAATCCTTTAAAGCCCTCCTTAGATGCAATAAAGCGAACAGCATTAGAAGCTGAGGTAAACTGCCCAGTTTGCATTCGTTGCTTGACAACCTGTGGAGCACTAGAGAATGTGAAGTTTCCCAGCGAAACCGTATGCAACCATGAAAATATCACTTTTACAAATATGAGAATTTAGCAACCTCTGTTGGAACGCGAACAAAAGATGCAGCAATGCCCCCTATAGCACCTGCAGTCTAATGAAATTTAAAAATTGAATGAAAAATCGTATCCCAGAAACTTTAAAAAAAAAATTGCATCAGTAAAATTTTGTGCCAGCAATAAAAGAATGATGACATGGACATAACATCAACTCCAGTACAAGCCAATTAGATCCTAGAGGCTTCAGATCACCATTATTGACCAAACTTAAGACTTCAAAGCAATGAGAGACAATTGATTTGAAGTGCCAGTGTGTGCTTTTTTCTAAAATGAATATAGCATGCTGTATCTTCATACTAATATTTATATAAGTAGTATCTTACTAAATGAGCAAAAGCACTCAGATTTTCAGGAAATATCCTTAGCAATTTTTGCTTTACAGGTTCATAAACTCCAACAAATAGAGCAGATGCCCTGCACATTTAAAATCAACACAAGGTGTTAAAAAAGAACCTAGGTATGATTCATGAAAATATCTTGATACGCAAAGAACAAAAGTTCCTGAAAACCACTTAAACAAATTTGTGAAAATATAATTCTTTTTCAATTTAAATATGTATAACACCTTTAGTGAAGAATAAATTAATTGTTTCTGTAAAAGATACTAATTTTCCAAACTAAGTTTTATATATATGCTCCCACACCCTATGGAAAGAACTCAAGACCACACTAAGTAAAGAGCTTTCCGAATGAGCAACCAAGAATCCAAAAATGAACAAATAATCTAGATCGAGGAACATAATATTAAAATCATGTTAAATGATGGCTTAAGAATTACAATCCCTAAGCCATCTCTATTCAAAGGAATTTGAACATCACTCACACTATGGTATTCCTCAAGTATTTTTGTCACTGAATCAGAAAAAACGAAAGAGATGGAACCATTGACAATGTGGGTTTGTAGTTAGAGTTTATAAATCCTCACACTTAGCTTTCTTTGTTTATAGAGAAACCCTCTACACAAAATGTTGGTGTTTTCAATTGAGCCATTTAGAACAAATTCAATAAATCGTCATTGATATATATAAATGTATATTGTATGCCCTATGTTTGCCAATCAATTTCTGATTTTTTTTTTCCATGTTAGCGTTTTCAAAATTTCTAATTAACATACAAAACCTAGAACGTTTGAAACATCATGCTATCCACGAGGTTCTCACGGTAAGACACCAGCAAGGTTCCCTGCCAATCCAGAATAAAGGCCTTTTAATACTAGTTTTTCTCCTCCGCGGGCAGCCTATAAAAACAAAAACAAACATAATCAGCATACTTAATGTAAAACGGAAGCCCTCTAAATTGCTGTTAAGAAAAGGGCATGGAATTATAATTGTGTGATCCTAAACCAAATGAATCCCCAAGAAAATGCCATGAGGAGCACACACATATACAAATTTCTTAACCCAAATTTAGTTAATCATGTTAGAAAACATATTTATCGCATATTTAGTTGTAAAAGGCTACCTGCAGACGTGTTTTTATAGTGTCAATGGGGTATAAAGCTGTTTCAACAACAACTCCGGCTGTACCACCTGCAATAACACCCTCTGCGAAATTCCACGAGGTTCGTCAGAATGATTGCAAACAATAATTCATCATGGTCATAGAGTTGTGTATCAACTTCTTACCAAACAAAGTGCGTAAGAAGTCAAATGGCTTTTCCTGTCCAACGGTAACAGATGCAAAAGAATTTCTGACAGTCAAGTTCTGCTTTCTCTTAGTAGAAGCATCTGCAAAACCGGCATTCTCTAAAATAACAAATATACCGAATCGATAACAAAGTTCTGCTGCTTATAACAATCTATGCATAAAATTTATAATTAATTTTCATTGACTATTAACAATCAATCAATTCAGTGTAACAAAACGATTATGAAGTAAAAATCAAGTAAACCAAAATCGGTAAAGTGTGAAACCTACCTGAAATGGCAGAGTCTTGGACCTTAACGGAGAGTGTAAGAGGAGCCATCAATGGCTGCTGATGAAATCACCACTGAGAAAATTGAAGACGAAGAGCATTAGTTAATAAACAGAATATGAATTTTGTGGAGAGAGAGAGAAAACGACAACAATAGAGGTCGTTTTGAATGTATTCTGAAAAGAGAGCGAGTTTACCGATATGAAGTGAAGAGAGTTGTTATCTGCAGAAAGGAGTTATCTTCTTAGGGGAATAAAACTCACATGAGTTATCCTGAGTTACTTTGTTCAAAATGAACTTAGGTTATGACTATGTTTATTTACCGGAAAAAAAACAAAAAAAAAACAAGTGAAATGGAGTAAAGTGAGATTAAACGGAATGAAATAGAATGAAGTGGAATGGAATAAAGATATTATTTTATTGTTTGATTACATTATAATGGAATATAGTCATTTTGTTATTCCATTCAAATCGGAGGGTACAAAAAATTATAGAAAGTGATGCAATGAATGAAATGCATTTCATCCGATACCGCTTCATTCCATCCTTTTTTAATCAAACCCTACAATGAAATATAACTTTGTTCCATTCTATTCCACTTCATAATATTGAAACCAAAAGTATACAAAGAATTTTTTTCTCATCATCTTCAATCTTGTTCTATGCATACACACAACTACACATAATCATTTTTGTTGGGTGTTATCTAGAAACAATATTGATAAGGTCCAATTTAGAATTTTTGTAATTAAATTGGGTTGAGAATTCTTCGAGGGTTTCAAGATAAATCCATTTGGGGTTTTCTTCCAATATCAAGGTTGACTTGGGAGTTTTTCACAAGATTTCGCAAATTGAATTCAGCCGAGTGAAAGCTTTGAAGAACGGGGATTCTGTCAAAGAAGTAGCGGTAACCAAAGGATCATTTTGGTAATATTGGATCACAATAGTTCGCAATTTGGATTCGACCGAGTGAACGTTTTGAAGAACGAGGATTATGTCAAAGGAGTAGTGGTAATCAAAGGATTAAATTGAAAGTATTGGGTTACTTGATCGAGCTCAAGATCAAGGGAAGAGAAAAAGATAGAATCAACATCAAACATATGGTTTGGAGAGTTGAATTCTTACTTTCTCTCTTGTAAAAAATATTTGCAAAGGTTAATTTTCATTATCTCAATTCCATTGGAGTTGAGGGTAGACATATCCATAGCGAGGCCAATTGAGAAACTGCCTAAACAAATCCTTCTCTCTCTCCCCCTCTCTCCCTCTCTCTCACTCACTTTTACTTACAAATTGTGAAATCATTGATTGGACAATCAATATATTGAGATAATTTCTTTGTCTAATATTTCAAACTATTTTGTTGAGTTGATTGTAATCTATAAGAATGCAATTGGTTTCTCGCATCAACAAAATCAAAGAAAAATCTAATTTGAATTGATTGCCCATCAAGTGTTCGACAAATTGCTTAAGTCAATTTTTGTTTGGTATTTCATTGGAAATTGATTACTATTGTGTGTTTTTATTCAAACATTGTTGTTGAAAAATATTGATCAATTTCTCTCATCAAATTGAATATGTTCTATACAATTTAATGCGTATCTGATCTTTTCGATAACGGTTCGGGATAGACGATTCTTAATTCATGATTGTTTCCACATGTCATAGTTAAACCCTTTTTAAAATAGATTTTTAAATAAGAAAATTTTATAAGTGATCTATTCACCCCCCTTTAGATAGTAGCCTATCGTCTAATAAATATTATCTTTAACCAAAGAAGGAATGACTTCCACGATAAGAGACTACTTTTGCAAAACATGTTTAGAGCAAAACAAGCTTTCATAAAAATGCACCACATGTTGATCAATCAATCTAGGGTCAGATATGATCTCATCACCAATTTTCAAGGATGAGGTGATCTTTGTGGTATTTTTTATCTTAGTCAATCTGTGATAAAATGCAGTGTTCATGTCTTCTTCCAAATTCCACTTAACTTTAGCCTTTTCTTTCCAAAATAAATATTTCCTCTCCAAATTCCTATCAAGATCTTGTTGAGATAACTTTTCCAAGTTCTTAACTCATCAGTGTGACCTTGAGCCTGAATTTGACCTTGTAGGGCAGAAACCTTACCGACAACCAATACACATATGACAACCAAGAATGGATATTCTAAAAGACCCCATGGTTCAAAATCTTCAACTTCTCCTTTAGCCTTTTGAACTTTTGAAACAAAATAAAGATAGGCCAGTCAATTACCCTCCCCTCCATCAAGTTATAATGAGGTTACGAGTCATTGTGTAGGGTTCACATTCTCAAAAATTTGAAACTTGAAGCAAACTTGTGAGTATGGTTTTTGAAATTAATAAGTAATGGGAAATGGCCAGACTTATTCTTGACAAGGGTGTGACACTCCATATATTTTCATGCATCCAACCAAGCCTGGTTGCTCATTGATTTATCCAACCTTTTTTCAGTATGATTCCTGCCTTGCCTACCGTAAGACCAAGTGAAGCTTTCACCCTCTAATAGGGATGTGAAATAGACCATCTCTTCATACCACCTTTGAAAATCCTCCATTGGCTGCCTAGCCGGACTGTGATGAACTGAATGCTCATGAGCTTCCAAAATAGCATTGAAGTCTAGCACCAAGGGGATTCAAATTGCATGAGAAGAGACTAAAGGCTCTACCACAATTGTCTTATTTTCAAATAATAAATAGAGGCACAAACTACTGAGATAAAGAAGGTTTTATTATTCTCTAAGACTGAGAAGGAAAACTATTGATCATCAATAAAAATAATAGCAGGGTTAAACAGAGTAGACCACAGACACCAAAGATTGGGAAGTAAATTATCCTTGTTGTTCATAGGAAAGATCTTGAGGCCTTGCCTAACTAACCAATTACTTGAAAAATTTGATAGGGCATCCAAGAATCGACAATAAGGATAATGGAAGGATGATTAGAGGTAATGGTCCTCTTAAGGGTCAATCTTAAGGGTGAATTGGCTAATCCCATAATGTTCCAAAAAACACACTTCATTGATGATAACACAATTTTATATAGTATATTTGATTTAATTTTCATAAATAATGTTAGTATTTTTATTTAATTATTTCATTTTATTTCCATATTACGCCGGTATTTTTATTATTTCAGGTATTTTATTTTAATTAGACAAATTGAGCAAAGTGAAGAAATTAAGAGAGTTATTAGACTAAATATGCAAGAAATGAAGAAAAGGGGTGTGCAAAGCAAAAATGATGGATCAAAAGGTTTATTATCTCCAAACTGGGCCCAAACGAAATCAGGCCCACGCAAGCAAGAGAGCCCTAAAGGTACGTGCAAGAGTGAGACGCACGTCTCAACTCCTCTCCTACAATTGAGGCGCCCGCCTCGAACCCTCCCCTTAGTGGGAGGCGTCCGTCTCAACTGCCACGTAGGCCCTAGGATGATACATGAGGCGCCCGTCTCAACGTGGTCAAGTGGATGAGTAAATCTCGGGACGACCACCTCCACTCAAAGCAGTTAGAACAAGAAATTTGGGGAAAAGTGGTACGAAAATATCTCAAAACGTGATTACATTCTACCACTATAAAAGGACATCAGGAAATCAAAGCAAGGGGGCCATTTTTAGCTTTTTTTTTTCCAGTTTCAGAATTTACCTTCCCGCATTATTATTTTCCATTGTAATTCAGTTTCCAGCAGTTATTTTCCAGCCAGTTCCTTTTCAAATACTTAAATTTTATTTATGTTGAAGAACCGGGATTTTGTACAAATTGATTCAAGCTTCAAGAATTATTTCCAGCATTTATTTAATTCAGGTTTCTTATTTACATCGCTTTAATTTATTTAATTAATTATTTGCATGAGAGATATTTATTTAGCCATGAATTTATTTACGAATGTTAATTCCTTTAATGTATTCATGTCTGCTTTTATGAGTATGTCTGGCTAAATTATTTAAATATCGGTATGTAACGAGTTAATTTGAATGGATCCGGAACAAACAAGCTTGATTATATTTTATAAAATAAACACTTTTTCTGATTTAGTTATCTAATTTATTTTGTTAAAAAAGGTTTAGAAACCAACAGAGCGAAAGTTTGAGGCTAATAAACTGACTAAGATTAGAAACCAATAGAGCGACAGTTTGAGGTTTAAAATCAGATAGTAGATACTAGGTATTGTTTTTAAAGACTGCGACAGCGTTTTAAAACCAATTAAACTTTATTTATTTTCAAAAAGTAATTTTAAAATCAATGGGATAGCGAAAGCATACATCAGAGTTTAAAATTATAATTTACTTCAATAGAGCGAAAGTTTGAGAATAGATTTTTGAATAAATACTTTTTGCTGAAAAAGATATTATTATCATTTTTAGAAAATAAGCCAGTGGAAAGCCGGATTCTTTAATGTTAACGAAGTACATACCGATATTCGCATTATTATTATTTCAATTAGAATTAAGTTTTATTACCCAAAAATTCCCCTAATTAATTATTCGACGGCTATAGCTTTACACAGTAGTTTAGGTTACGTTAGTTCGATTTATAGTCCCTTAGGTTCGATATCTTTTAAAACTACGCGATAGGGCTGTATACTTGCAGTATCCCGATTAATTTAGACGATAAAGTCGCGATCAAGTTTTTGGCGCCGTTGCCGGGGACTATTTAAGTTGATATCATAATTTTATTACGAAGTATAGACTATAGCAACTATTTATTTTCCCTCTGTGTATGCCAAATACTCGTTCTCAAGGCGCGCCTTTGCATATACCTATATACGATATTGAGCGTTACCTTAGATTAAGAAGACGAATTCAAGAGTATTTAGAACGCAACAACCTTCCTTCGACCAAACTTCCTGACGTTGAAGAACTCAAGAAGATGGCTGATCTACCTGCTCCTGCTCCTCGTCCTCTTAAGGACTACGCTGTTCCTTCTCAAGCAGAGCCTCATAATAGTATTGCTGCTCCTGCTATCACTCGAAACGATTTCGAGCTAAAACCTTCGCTTCTTTCCACCGTTCAGCAGAACCAGTTTTCTGGAGCTCC